TGGTTGAGGGTCCTCCTCTCCTTCACTGACCCTCCACCCTTCCCAGCATCATGTCCTTCTCCAAGGAATAGCCCCTCTTAGCAACATGCCCAAAACCCATTCCTGCTTCTGAAGAGCACTGCGGCTGCACCCTCTCCAAGACATAGCTGTTTGTTCTGTTGGCTGTCCATGGGATGTTCAGTGCTCTTCTCCAACACACAGCTCAAAGGCCTCAATTCTTTTTCTGCCATCCTTATTCATTGTCCAGATGCATAACAAGTAATTAGAACATAATTAGAACATTTCATGAAATTATACATAGCCTCATAGCTGAATGAGTAGATTAGAAAATATCTGAATATGGGTAATGTCTCTAATCAAATTAATTGTACTGTGTGTACGATTTCCTAGTGTGGATGATGTACTATAGTTCTGTAAGATATCACCATTGGGTGATAGGGGCACAGGACTTCTCTGTACTATTTGGACCTTCTTTTCAATTTATCGTTATCTCAAAACAAAATGTTTCAACAAAAAAGAAAGACAAGGAGAAGGGGAAAAATATATAAACAAACGAATTAATGAGTGAAGGAAACCCCCGATCTGAAACAGGAACAATAAAAATGTAAAATATATGGTTCTAAGACAGTGGACCTCGGAAAATCTTTCAGAGATTGGAGCAAAGAAGGTGAACGTGCCACAGGCCACCTTTCTGCTTTGAATTTCTAGACTGATATAAAGGGAAGACGAACCAAGAGAGGGAGGACCCACTAGACTCCTCCTTCCCCAAGTGAAGAACAAGCTCAGTGTCTTCTGCAGAGGTCAAGGTAGCCAGAATTCATAGGACACAGTAGAGCCTGTTTCACCTCCAGACCCAGAATAATGATGTCTGATCTGTCTGCCAGACAGGGAAATTTCATAACTCATGCCACTAGGTAGCCACTTGAAAGGTGAGTAGCTCTAAATAATTATCACTAAACTGAGCACTGTTCCAGAAACAAACCACAGACACCAATCCCAGTGCCTAAAGCCAATCCCAACTCATAATGACCCTAGGACCTTATATGATGTCCAGGCTCTGAGTCTTTGCAGAAGCAGACGGCCACATCTCTCTTCTGCTACGACTTGGTGGATTCAAACCACCAAGGTTAGCACTTTAACCACTGTGCCACCAGGTTTCCTCAGCTCCAGACCTGCCGCCTTGTTGTTGATTGCCACTGAGTTGAGCACGACTCATAGTGACCCTGTGAACAAAAGACCTGAAGCCTCTCTACAACCGTCGACATTTATCAAAGTTTATAGAGTTTCCAGAGGCACATTGTTTAGGAAGTGGATGCCACTCCTGCTTCCAACCAGCCTAGCAAATGATAAAAGCAAAACATGAAAGAGGCAAACTATTTCCAAGCAGCTGCATCTTGGACACACTCAAGATTTGTAGGAATACAAAAATATTTAGGACCTAATAATGCAAAATTTATGTCACACGTCCAGTCAAAGATTATCATACGACAAAGTGATGAGAAAACATGACTCAGAATAATAATTCCTTAAAACTAACTCAGAACTGATACAGATGTTAGAATTAGCAAAGGGTAATAAAATAGTTATTCATGTCCAAAAATTAAATAAAAGCTTTTAAAATATTAAAAGACTCTAAATTTGTAGAAATATACTGTGTTGAGATGAAAAATGCAGAAAGAGTGAACAATGCAGAAGTGCAAATAGAAGGATCAAAGAGTCTCTAAATTATGTCTTAGAAAAACTGATTAATTTTATAATTGTTCAATTCTTAGTCTATTGATTTTAATATTTTTAGGTCATTAGTATAAAATATTAAGGATATCTACCATTCAAACTAGTTATAAAAACGTTATTAAAAACCCGTATAAAGCTGCTGTGGACCTGTCAACACCACAGGTGTGGCTGCTCTGCTATACCTGAGGTGTCAGGGCAAAGAGGAAGTGGCAATTTCTACACTCAGTGCTCAACCCGTGAGCACTCAGAATGCTTTCTAGCCTGACAATCCTGTTTTTAAAAAAAAAAACCCAACATTAAAAAAAACAAAAAACATACAACCCAACCTGTATAAAAACTAGCATTAAAAACTAGATTTTCATCAATAAATATTTTTGCCAGAATGCCTTAGATTGTACTTTTTTTGAGAAAATACAATTAATAGTTAAGGATGTTGACAGAATTAAAATATCTGGTTATGGAATTGTACGATAGTCTGATTTTCACTGGCAAAGAGAAATGAAAGCAATGAAGTTGTGGAACCCCAAGTTCTAATGTGTGTTGCAAGACTGCAGTAGGAAGAATTATATAAACTTCACAAATTAGAAAGGAGTATCCACATTCAGGCCAAATTACAAAAAGCTTTCAGTAAATCACTTGTTGGCAAGATGGAGAAAGCTTTTCAGTCAGCTTAAATACAACATTATAAATGATCTTTGTGCTTGCGTGTTGTCTCTAAGCTGAAATTGCTTGTGCATTCATTTTGCTGAAGACGGGAGCCCTGTGTTAGCCTCTCCTGTTACAGAAAATGGGCAGATAAGCTCCACTTAACATAAGTAAGAAAAGCATCACTGGGGAAGTGACTAGAACAATGTAACATGATCTCAGATAATAAGGAAAGACTTACTGTTGATCTACTTTTTACTGGTGTTTAATGGTAAAAAATAAAAGAGAAGAATGTCATTTCCTGTGGGCTTAGAGTCTATACAGAGCAGAATATAAGGACAGATTAAATTATAAATGGCTATTTCCTTCTGACTATAATGTCTTTTTTAAAAAATGTTATTACTTTTTTTGTGTGTACCATCACATTGGATCTGACTGATGAGATCGTTCTCCAGCAGAACAGCTGGTGGATTTGAACCGTGCACCTCAGGGATTGCAGCTACGTCTTTTTAAAAAAAAAATAAAATTTAATTGTGATTTTAACAAAAGTTTACAGAAAAGTTAGATTTTCATGCATTCATTGTTGCCCATTTTACCCCCCTCCCTCCGTTCCCCCTCCTCAAGCTGACTTTTTAAAATACTAGTTTATTTACAAAATTTGAATACTTTGTTTTTGAGAACAAATTCTTCCAATTTCCCTCACGCTCCCATCATATTATACAATTCCATTATTAATCCCCCCTTCCCCTGCACATCCTCATCCCTCTGTTTCCAACCACCACCACTTGGATGTTCATACTCATTCTACAAAAATGGTTTTATACAATGTTTGTATTTGTGGGACTGAATTGGTTCACTCAGCATAATGCTCTGCAGTCCCTCTCAAGTTAGGTAATAATTTACAAAATCATTGCTCCTGCATGCTGCATAGTATTCCATTGGGTGAATGTACCATAATTTCCCAGTCCGTTCACTTGACATCTGGGCTGTTTCCGTGTTCTTGTGATGGTAAATAATGCTGCTATGAACATTGATGTACAAATCTCCATTTGTGCTGCAATGTCTTTTTTTCCCTACCAGGAGTTTGTTTTAAATGCTAAGTTCTAATTTGTTGTTGTGTGCTACTGAGTAGGAACCCACCCATCGCTGACCCTCCAGTGGGTTTTCAGAGGCAGTTAATCTGCTTTAGTCCTGTTAAATATATGGTTATATATTCATTGCACTTTGAATTTTTCTCAGTTTACAGAAAGTTTTGGAAAATCAAAATCGGTTTTCCAGGTTCATTATTAAGTGTATCATGATTAGGAACTGTCAAGATCTAGTCATGGTTACTTCATGTGCCCAAGTTATTGTCAAATTGTGCCCTTCAAAATAGGTATTATTATCATTTGTAACTCCTGTGTCTCTGAAGCTCAAAAAACTAGAGCCTTATTGATGAAGATAAAACCTATAACCTTTAGTATGGATTAAATAGACATAAAACAAAAATCTTTACAACTGGACTTAATATACAACATGATGATAAATATTTAAATTGTCCAAAATTTCATTTACTTAGATCTACAATTAGTACCCATGAAATCAGCACACAGGAAATAAAAAGATACACACAAAATGAACATGTCTGCACCTCATTAAAGTACTATAGAGCAAGGATATCTGCTTAAAGACTAAGGTGCACCTGACAAAACTAGTTTTTTCAGTTACTTCATCTACATATGAAAATTGAGCAATGCTTTTGAAGAGTATTAAATATACCATGGACTGCCAAAAGAACAACTAAACCTGTCTTAGAAGATGTGCAGTCAGTGTGCTCCACAGAGCCAAGGGTGATGAGACTTGGTCTCACCCTACTTTGGGTCTATTGTGAGGAGAGACCAGTCCTTGGAAAAGGATCACAGTTGGTAAGTAGAGGGCCAGTGAAGGAAAGGAAGACCATTAACAAGATGGATTGACACAATGACTGCAACAATGGATGTAAACAGCAGAGACTGTGCAACAAGACTGGACAGGGTTTAGATCTGTCCTATGAGTCCTTGCTGCCAGCAACCTACTTGCCAGCCACGAAGCTGTTAGAAATGTCAATTAGGAGACAGTGTTTCACAGCTCTACTTTCCTAGCAGACTCTTGCAGTTTGAATTAGGCTTCCCCAACTGGAGGACACATACCACCACCACCACCCCAATTTTATTGTTACTGTAAGTTGTATGAAAGTTTACAAAGCAATTTGATTATCCAATTACTCATACTCATTTTGTTTGTTGGGGTTTTTAAAGAAAATTTTCTTTTCTGCCTCAGTGATTTCCCTCCCTCCCCCCACTCATCCCTCATTACTACCCTTAGTGTCCCTCCCCTTCCCTCTTTGGACATTTATATACATCTTACTAGTTATCCGTCTGTTTTTACAGTGTACTCAATGTTTGTCCTTATAAGAACACTCAGCATAATGCTCTCTGGATTAGGCCTTTTATGGTTAATATTTGCTTTTGTGAATAAGAAAAATCTTTAAAATGTCTGTTTCTTATTGAATTGTTCTGAGCTCTTTGTCCATTTCAAAGATTTGTTGTTTGGATCTATGGAGAAAAATGGTGCTGATAATTTCATGCAATTTTGTGTTTCAGGCATCATGAATGGAGCAAGCACACTTGACACATGGATTAAGGCTAATGCCCCCAAAGGCACTGTAAGTTTTAGGAGTCAAAGCTGGTTTCAGTCCCTGAAACTGCCGGACTAAGGGTGCGTTAAACTGTATGTGTAAAATTTAAACAAAACAAGCTGTTCAGTGTCTACAAAAATGAAAACAGTTATGTTCATACAAATACTAAACACCAATGGAAATGCATACTGGAAAGGTGTCTAGGAAGAATGCTTTTTTAAAACTTGTGCTTAACTGTTATTCTTTTTTACTGCTGTGTAATAAACTGCCACAAACCCATCAGCTTCGTTGTTGTTACTACCTTTGTTGTTATGCACCATCAAGTCGGAACTGACTTATAGTTCAGCCTCCAGTGGGTTTTCTCCTGGGAGGAGACTACCCAACTTTCTCCAGCTGTGCAGCTGGTGGATTTGAACCTCTACCTTCAGGATTGCAGTGCAGCTTCTTACCACTAGGCCACCAGAGTTCCCTTCCTGTTTATCAGCCCACGTTTCTGTAGGTTAGAAACACAACACTGCTGAGCTCTCTGTCTTCTCAGGGCATCAGAAGACCGGACTCCAGGCCATGACTGAGCTGAGTTCTCATCCACAAACTTTAAGGGGAAAATCCAGGCTCATCCAAGTTGTTGAAAGAATCCAGTTCCTTGTACCTGTATGACGGAGGCCTCTAATTTACTTGCTAGCCAGCAGTCACTGTCAATGTCCTGCATCCCTTCTTGTGTGATTCCTTCCATGCTCAATTCAGCAGTGATCTGCTGAATTCTTCATGTGCTTTAACCATCCAGTTTCTGCAACTAGCCAGAGAAAACTATTTCTAAAGAGCTTAGCCAGGACCACCTAAGTTAGTCTTCCTTTGCCAAATAATCTAATAAAATCACAGACATGATATCATAATATGCGTAGTTCCCTTGCACGCTTGAGAGGAGGCCATACATACAAGAGGCAGTCAGCTTAGGAGACTGTAGATCCTAGCAGCTGTGTGTTTTCTGCTTGGTAACTCTTACAGCATTGGTGTTTATTTAAGCATGACTAATAAAACTTACATAAATGTGATGCATTTATTCATGATTCTTCATATTCTTCTATGCTTTAAGACAAACCTCATTGAGTATTTTTGGCTGTCTTATACCCTAATGTGTGAAGACAGTTTATTTCACTTTATAAAGGTATACTATATAAAATTATTTTATTAATTACCTTTCTTTCAAACCCTCCTTGTCTACTCCCAAATCATTTAAATTGTATAACATTAAAAGTATATAGACCTATTATATCTTTCTTTATTAGGATAAATCAGTTCTTAAATGCTGACTTCCAATAAAGCTTTACAAATTTTATAATTTATAATTCTCTTTTGTTAAGATCTCACTTCTTTATGATTCAGGAGTTTAAAAACTCCTGATTTATGAAACAAAAAGTCAGCCTTTTGAGATATCTTAGTGTTCCCTTTGAGTTCACCTTTCATGAAATTAGAATCTGTTTGGAAGACCTTTAAACATAAATGTGTTCAATGTGGTTCTAATGTGTGTTTTGAAAGTAGCTGTTGTGTACAGGAAAGTATGAGATAGTAAAGCAGTTTTTATAATGTTTCCCCCCCCCACCTTCATGCAATTATATGAACATTATCATCACTAAAAGAAAAGAGCCAGAAAGGTCATTCATGAACATGATGTCAGTCTAAAGCATTTAAAATTACGTACAGAATGGTATGTATTTGGATCACACAGTCAAGTTCCAAATAGAAAGGAAAAGTTGCCACATTTTACTCTCCTGGACACAGACCTCTATACATCACATGCTTAAAAACTAACGATCTAAGTAATATTTTGGATGTCTTTAGGGTTTTTCTCCAGTGGTCCACCAGGCTTCTTAATCCCCTTTCAGAGTTCACTTTTTTCTAACACCTGCCCGTCCCCTTTTTATTTCTGTAGCTATAAAGTGTGTCTCTCCAGAATGAATGAATATGCCTCTTGTTCTTGCTTAAAAGAGGCTATTGCTGAAAGGGTTTTGGTGCAAACTCAGAGAGTAGCACACATCCTAGATTTCTAGAGAACATACTAGGGAGAGTCTCTCTCCTCATGCAGCCTACCCCATCCAGGTGTTCTCAACTTCCTCTCGAAAGCAGTTGCCGCTGGTATAGGTCTCTCAGTTGTGTGCTTGAGTCAGAAGGACCAGACTTCCAAGGTGCACTTTTATGCAGCTGCCAGAAACCTCCAAAGCCAGTTAAAAGTCATCTTGCAAATATGTTAGGTCTCTTGACTCAAATCTTAAACTTCCTCTTCAGCCTGTTCCCTGTCTGTCGTGCACACCCCCAAACCATTCCACAACGGAGTGATATTACCTTATTTCAAAAGCTACTTGAAACTCAGCCTAGAACAGAAAGAGTAAAAAAAAAACATTTAGCTAATACAAAGTGCACATAGTCTGTGATAGAGTCCTTTTTGCTAAGGACTTAGCATCTTGAAATTCTATTCAGTCATTATGGCAAACTCATGGGGCACGCAAAGACAGAGATTCATTCTACTTATTGAAACATTGAAAACAAAAACCACTGGAGTCCAGTCTCTTCTGACTTACATTGGTCCTTCACTGGGGTTCCAAGGCTGTAAGTCTCTAAGGAGACTGCCTATTTTTCTCCCTCAGAGAAGGGGGATTCAGCTGCGACTCCATCCATTACCAGCCCATACATTATGCATTATGTTACCAGGCATCCTTAATCCTCCTTACCGTCTCCCAAAGAACAGCTGGTGGAGTTGAACCACAAGCCTTTTGGATTCTAGCTCAAAACTTCTTACCATCAGGCCCCCAGAATCTAATGGTAAGAAACTGTACTGCATTCCCAAGATTACTCAGTTCTAATTCACCAGCTGTTCTGTGGGAGAAGAATTGGCAATCTCCTCCCATGTGATTACTGCCTCTGAAAACCTGCTTCAGGCTCAGCTATGGGTAGATTCCAACTCAATGGTACACAACAACCACCTATCAGTACAGCATAGTTTAAAGATTCCTCAGTAAGTATAAATTTGATTTTGAAAAGATCTCTCTGAAAAATTACAGGGTCATTCTTTCTATTCACAGATAATTCTTGTTTCTATATGATTTGCCCTGGCTAGGTAATTAAAATGTTTTCTTTTGTTGCCAGATGTATGAATATAATAAAGTATTTCCTGGGAAAAAATATGTGTGTCCTTTATATTAAAGCTGTACAATCCTTACCCTGCACTGGTTAAATCTTCTTTTAACTTAGATGGTTATCTCTGCTTTCTTTTTTATTTCTGAAAACAAGCTCTTAAAAAAAAAAGAAAGGGAAGTATCCAAGATGGCGGTGGAGGCAGAGACAGTGTGGTGAGCTGCGGGAGCAGCGAACCACTTAAAGCAGGGCCATTATGGCCTCCTACAGACTTCAGCTTATTGATACACTTAAACAGTTGATGACTGGCACTCAGTGAAGATCGAGGCTCAACAACAGGAATTCAAGGATTCCCAAGGAGGAATGGGTTTGCTCCCTTTCCTATAGGTAACCTTAACACTGAATTTTACTCCAGAATTGACCCTGAACCCAGTGCCAGTGACAAAAAGGAAATACAACTGACAGCTAAGGAGGCAAAGGAAGATGGAGCCTCTGGGTTTAACCAGCCATCCCCACTGGACCCACCTGAGAAAACACTTTGCAGTCCAGAGAGGAGCAAATGACAGGAAAATATCTTCTAACAGAGCAAGAAGGCAAGCAGCTTTAACCCAAGACCACCAGTAAGGAGATAAAGTGTCCTCCCTTCCCCCCTTTATATCTACGCCCCTGTTCAGCATGAAAAAGCCAGAGAGTCGGCATCCAATTCCCAAATCAGTAAGACAGTTGGTTTAATTACCATTGGAAAATGCTTGTCATTCCTCTGTAGCATCTGGTCCCCACTGGACCCTCATCATTTCCTTCACCTGCTCCCCCCACCGACCAAACTGTGCAGCTCTGCAACTGCATCCTGGCCCATCCTCACCCTTCTTCCCCCAACCCTCACCTCCTTGTACCCCCAATATGTTTTTCCCAATAAAAGAAAAAAAAGAAAGAAAACAAGCTCTTAAAATGCCCTGTCAAAAAGTATTAAAAAAAATAAAAAGAATATTTTTAAAAAGTATTAATCTCTTAGGATAGTTTCATATAGGAACCTTTGATCGAATAATTGCATCAGAATGAGTTTAAGTTAAAATTAAGTAGGCAATGTAGACAGTAGGAGCACTTGATTTGACTTTTTAAAAATCATGCTTTTTAAAAAAAAATCATGCTTATTGGATAGAAAAATTAATGATGTAATTAGGCATATATGTAGTCCAGCTGATTAAAAAGAAATTATATCAAGTGAAGAAAATTACAATGTTCTGGATTATTTTCCCCCCCTTCTTCCTTGAGGCAGGAGGTTATGGGTTTTTTTTCTTCACTGCTGTACCTTGAATCTTCATCATCAGTTCTATCTCATTTGGAAGCACTGCCCTTTTATTTTGTTCTTTAAGAGGCTTATCTGCAATGTCATTGCCAAACCAAAGTGGAGGGTCTCCAGGGCTGTACTGTTGGTGATGAACCAACTCTGACATTCTGAGAGCTGCCTCCCTGTAAGAGCAGTGATTAGCATGAGTTCATTTCCAAGTAATCTCTAGTGAAGAATTTTCAAACTTGCCTACAGCAATCAAGTCAGAATATATTACACTAATATCTAATTCTTCTAAGACATCCTGCTTAATAATCAGTTGCAGATAGTATAGGAGAAACAGGAAAATATTGGTAATTTATCATTAATTGTGCACTGGTAAATCATGGATTGAATTCTATCCCCCCAACACATACACAAATGACACAATGCTAAAGCTATGTTAATATTCCCCATGATCTGATAAACTGAATAGTATAAAAAGATAAAGAATGGAATGCAACACTCCTTAATCCCATCACAGCCTTAAAGGATTTAAGAGACTTTCTGGACCTGGGCTCCTATTGGAGAATGCACCTTGACACTGGGAAGGCCAGGACGCCAGCCAGCCCCACGGTATGTCAGGCCTATAGATGCTGAAAGAAACAAGACTTTCCTCCAGAGCTGACAACAGAGAACAAGCCTTCCCTGGACCCTGAATGTGGACTTCTAGCTTCCTAAACTGTAAGAAAATAAATGACTGTCTGCCATCCACTTGTGGTGTATCTTGTTATGGCAGCACTAGAGAATGAAAATCTGGTATAATCAGATTATTTTATTAACTTTGAGGAGACATGAATGGAGTGAATGGATTTGGGGAGAAGAGTAGAAGAAGTAGGGATGATACTTCAAGGAGCAGAGTTAGAAGTAGAAAGGTTACTAAGAAAGTGATAGGGACACACCAAGACCATTTTGGGCGGGAGATTCCCTTGATCCAGCTCAACATGTTGGCTTCAGTTAGGCACAAAAGAGAGTGACATTTTCTAACTCTGAAAGCCACTATGCAATTCAGAATGGCATGGTCACATACTCTGCTTTCTCAGGAAGAGGCACTCGCAGCTGCTTCTATTCAGGTCCATGCTTAGGCAGAAATGTATCTGCAGTACAGCATCTTCAGGATCCTGCGTGCAACCCTCTTTGAGGTTCTCACGGAATGGGTCAGAAAGCAGGATACAACCCGAAAGAGCCAAGATGTGCGGTAATGGCATTTGACTGGTAGCAATTCCATCCTTGGCAGTTAATCTGAACACACAGCCAAAGTAGATACTGGTTACTCAGAGGAATTCTATCCCAGAGCAGAACAAAAGTGGAACCCTCACAGATGTCTTTCACCCACCTTGTCACATGATATACCAATAAGTCAACTTAGTAGAGACTTCTATTTTCAAATAAGAAAAAAAAAAAAAGACCTGAACATCCAGTAAAATATGTCTCAAATGGTACCAAAAGTAAAATATGTCTCAATTTTAAATGTGCTCCAAGAATAAAATATGGATCAAATTGTACCCATGGTAGGAGCTCTGATGGTCGAGTGGTAAACTAGCTGCACTGCCATCCTAAAAGTACACAGTTTGAATTCACCAGCTGCTCCGTGAGAGAAGGAGGGCCCATCTCGTCTTAGGCAACATGCTGCCTCCGAAAACCTGCTGGAGGGTCAGCTACGATGAGGTTGAGATCGAAGGCACACAACAATTTTACCATAAAGTATTCAGGTATGTGTGGGAACTTTCTTAGTAGTACTTGTTACATCAAAGACAAACAACTTAGGAAATTCTGCAGGGATGGAGTTGGCTCTGAATGTGAAATTCATTCTGTTACTTTAGAAGCTTGGTTAGAATAATACCATTTCTACATAATATGTATGTTCTTTGAAGTTAAGCTACAGATAGGATCAAGCTGCTTTGATGACAAATCTGTGTCTCTGATGGCTTATGTGTAAGAATAGTGTGAATATTTTGGGAAAGGAACAAGTAGGTGAGACAGGATTTGAAGGCAGAAGGAGAAAGTGGAGCTGAAGCCAAAGACACTTTGTGACTCTTGCTGTCTCTGAGGAATTGTCTGAAAGGTTCCTAGATTTGGACCGTTTGCCCTGAGGTTCTACAGAGGAATCCAACCCTACTTCTCGGTTTAATTCACTTACTCAGAGACTAATTTTTTAATTTACCAAGCCAAGAATTGCTGCAAAATCAATGAGATTATTGTTCAAAAAAAGGATTTTCCCCTTCAAGCAGATTTACTTTCTTAATTTGAAAGTTTGAACATTCTGAAAAAAAACATGAGGCTTGCTTTTGTTTTTCCACAAAAATCTGTAAGGGTTATTCAGGGAAGAAACCTTCCTTTTGAAACATACACTTTCTGTTAAGAAAAATGCATGTTGTCATTGTCTGAGCATGTCCCATTTCCAGAACATGTTCAGGACCAAGACTTACTTTGTCAGCCTCACAAATGATTGTCTCACAATGCCTTCAGATATTCCTGCATTCTGAAGATCTGATGTGATTAGGATGTAGGAGTAGAAAGAAGGAAAAAGTTCTTGGAATTGTAGAAAAAGGGAAGGAGAGTGAAATGAGGTGATGAAAAATCTAGGGTCTGTGGAGTTCAGAGTACTAGATTTATTTGCTTAGGAGAGAGCTAAAAAGGCCAACAATTTCCATAGATGAGAAGTTCAAAATACTCAGTGACTGAGGTGATATTTTAGGGATTTAGGGACTGAGTTTGGGAACTGAGAATGGAAATGACTGGATGCATCTCCATAGGTGGATGTGGCCCTGTTTTTTTCTCCACTGGTCTTCTACACCACGAGTTTTGATGCCTTAGAAAATATTTTGGCTTATTCTTTTAATAAATTTATTTCATGTTTTTAAAATAACAATCACTATTTTTTAAAAAAAGAATCAAAAGTATCAAAAGAAAGACAAGTATTTCTAAATTCACAACCTAATAGAATCACTGTTAATATTCTAGAGTCCTTCTTACTGGGTTCTCACCCACTTCCCTATCCTTAAACAACAGAATTATAAATATAGAACTCAATTTTGCATCCTGGTGCATTTTTTAATTGTTTTTGTTTTGTTTTTACTTCATCAAGGAGTAAGACTGTTACGTGTTTCTTTGCCTTGTTGTTCAACTACACCCTGAAGCAGGGTGGCATTGAAAAAGAGGAAACCCCTCAAGGAGACGGAGTGACACAGTGACTGTAGCAGTGGGCTCTGGCTCAGCACAGACCAGGACTGGCCAGTGTTACATCCTGTTATGCACAGGTTGTCAGGAGTCTGTGCCAACTCCATGACACAACAAATAATCCCCTACATTCTTTATGCTGTCTTTAAATTGCAAAATGTTTCCATTAGTAGATTCAAAATAGTTTACTATGCCCGGATTTCTGGCCATTTTGGTCTGTCTTTAACTATTTAAATAGTATTGTGATGATTATGTTTATAAATATTGTTGTTGAATACCATCAAGTTGGAACCGACCCACTAACACTCCAGTGGGTTTTCAGAGACAGTTAATAGAACGGGAGGAGATTGCCCATTCTTCTCCTGAGAAGGTGCTGGTGGAATCCAACTGCATGCCTTCAGGATTGCAGTACAGTTTCTTACCACTAGTCTTCTCTAAATTTTAAATTATCTCCTTTAAGATATATACCAGAAAAAAAAAAATATATATATATATATACGAGAAAGTGAATTCAGTGGATCAGAGGTGTAATTGTCTTTGACTTTGATAAATTCTCATAATACATCACAAAAGGATTTTACTAATTATACTGGATTCTTGCCATCTATGAGCTTGAGTTTTTGAGTTGACCAAATTATATATTAAAAGCTATATAATTTGGTCAACTCAAAAACTCAAGCTCACTGCTGTGAAGTTAGTCCCAATGCAGCTCCCCTCTGTTGGGTTTTCAAGGCTGTAGATGGTAACAGGAGGAGACTGCCGGTCTTTCTGCTGAGGAGCAGTTGGTGGATTCAAATCAACAAAGGCTTTAACTTGTGTTTCTTAATTATGTTGAACCTTTTCCTGTATTGTTTACCAGTAGAATTTTCCCTGGCTTAAATACTAGCTCTGCCATTCTGTAGTTCTGTGACTATGGTAGCAAATTGCTTTACTCCTCTGATCCTCAAGTTACCTAAGATTGTCAGAAGGATTAAATGAGATCATATCTAGAAATAGTGACCAGCAGTAGTAAATACTCAATAATCAGGGATTGATCATAATTCAGTCTCCTGTAATTCTCACTCTTGTCCATAATTTTTTATTACTATTTATACCATAAAATGCCTTTGCAGAGTTAATAAAAGGTAAACATATTTCTGGTAGTCTTTATTTGTAGGCAAGATTCATTAGACATAAGCAATGACGTCCCTTATTCCACGACCTCTTCTCAGTCCAGCTCAAATTTCTGGCAGTTCTCTATCAATGAACTGCTCCAGCAATTTTTAAATAATTTTCGGTGAGATTTTAATTGTGTGTGATATTAATGATACTGCTCTATAATCTTCATATTCTCTTTGGTCACAACTATGGATCTCTTCTAGTCTTTTGGCCAAAATGGGCAATCCTTGTTGTTTGTTGTAATGTGCCATCAAGTCGTCTGCGACCCATAGCAAGCCAATGTACAGTAGCTCTGAAGCCTGCTCTGTCCTGAGCAGTCTCACTGATTCTGATACACCAAACCTCATTGCCTCAGTTACTGTATCAAACCATCTCATCCGAGGTCTTATCCTGTGCTGTCTGACCACCCTTCATACAAAAAAAATTAAATATAATTAATTAATTAATTAATTAATTGTCAGGGGTGGAGTGAGTTTTATTTGGTTCCAGACCCTTAGTCAATGAAAATCCTTGATCCTGGAAAGGCCAAGGCACATGGAGGTCTTTAGGGAATGCTGAAGAAAACAAGGACTGACAGCATGAGGCTTCCCCTTGAGCTGACATCCTAAACTTGGACTTCTAGCTGCCTAAAAGATAAGAGGATAAATTTGGTTTGTTAAAGCCATCCGCTAGTAATGTCTCTATCTAGCAACATTAAATAATTAAGACAGGTTATATCTTGATGGCAGAGTGACAATGGATGGCACTTTATGTTTTTCTACAGAGTCTAAATCCTTTATAATAAGTATGTATTTCTTTTGTTATCTATTTTTTTTCCCTCTGTGGGAGAAGGACAGACAACCTCCTCCCATGTGTTAATTGCCTTTGAAACCCCGCCAGAAGATCAGCTGTGGATTTGTTCCAACTTGATAGTACACAACAAACATTTTTTATAATAACTTTGTATTTATTTTATAATCAGATGTTAGAAAAACTGTAAAAAACTGGAAACTAAGACAAAACTGTGATGGCCTGTGTTTTCAGTAGCATGCTGGAGCACTGTTTAACAGTCCCACTCACAGCATTTTCCAGAGAATTACACAGTACTTTTGCTTAATATGCCATTTCCCATTTATTAGAGCCCAAATTCAGTGATACTGCTTGTTAACTTGTATGTGGTAGAAAATATAACCCCAATGTCCTGGTTTTATTGCCTTGTAGGACATTAACCAATGTTGGGTCTATCATAACAATTATATTCTGACATTCTTTCTTCAGTGTCTACAGTTGTCATTATGTGCCATTGAGTTGCCTGTGATTCATAGTGATCCTATGTACAATATCTCTGAACCCTGTCCTATCCTGAGCCAGTCTCACTGACTCCAACACTCCTATCTGCCTTACCCCGTTATTGTGTCACTCTATCCTCACCCAGGGTCTTCCTCTCCCAAGCTGCCCCTGCACCCTTCTAAGCATGATAACTAATTCATTCCTGTATTCTATGAGCTGACTTTACCAGCTCATAGAATAATTTCGTAATTAATTTATTCATTTCATAAATACCTGACACAAGTTTATTTTATATTTGTGTAAGAATTATGCCTTATACTTTTTTGGAAATTCTTCTTTGACACACATTAATTAAATCATAAAACTATTCTCAATTTGGGGAAAGGAAAAAAGAGGATGCCTCAGATACAGCAAAGAAAACAAGATCTATGTTAGGTCCAACCCCTAGTCACTGCCGTACCTGGGTTCTTTGCTGGAGCTTCAGTTAGAGCTGAAGTCTGAGTCCTGCACATACCTTCGGACAGTCAGCCATACTGAGAGATGTGAGGTGAAGGCAGTAAATGGTTAGTGCTTTGATAACCTCATCTGACAGCTGTGGGCAATAAGAGAAATCCAAGTATTCCAAGATCAGTGAGCCTTTGCAGAAGGCCTGCAAGAAATCCCAAGCCAGATATTTTCTTCTTTTTCTTATTCTTTCTTTGTTTTGTATACCTGGAGCCAGGCTCTGATATATAAATCTGTTGTATCTTGTTCAAAAAAGCCAATATATTAAAAAAAAATCTCTTTGCAACAGAATATATTCACACCCCACCAAAAGAGCTTAGTAATACTAACATTCTTTCTTAATAGGGTTTCATTTTCCTGGTGACTTAGGGGCTAGGAGCTGTGCTGTTGGCTCAAAGGCATGCAGTTCGAGTCCCAGCTGCTGAGGGGAAAAGATGGGCAGTGTCCTCCAGTGCACTTGACTGCCTCTGAAAACCAGCTGGAGGGTCAGTTATGTGCTGGTTCCCACTTGAAGCCACATAACAACAACAAAGTTATCACTAAGGAAATTGACCTCTTTCTGTCATATCTATTAAGAGTTATACTCAGGTGAGTAGAGGAAAAGAAATCTAGAAGAAAAATACATGGGAAACAGTCCAGTGTTGACAGTATGACAGAACAATAAGACGCAGCGCATATTTCAAATCAGAGACATGAGTTTGAATTTTCTACTACTTCCAAAGGGAGTTCAAATCCACTAACTGCCCTAAAGGAGAAAGACTATCTCCTCCTGTGCAGTTTGATGCCTCTGAAAAACCAGTGGAGGGTCAGCACCGAGCTGATTCCAACTCAACGGCACACAGTAACAGAAAAGCCAAAAGAATTTATTAGCTCTTATAATAATAGCTTATAATATAATAGCTCTTATTCCACACTTCAATTTCCTCTTCTTTATAATAAATATACATATACCTTCTAACAATGTTCTGAAATTCCAAATTATTCATCTTCAGTTTTTAAGGCTGAGAAGTTCTTCTCTCAACTTCAGTAGTTCTTAATTTTTATTTCCATTCATTTCTGCTTTTCAAAAAGGACTGTTAAAAAGAAAAGGGAAAATACACTCAAAATATTACAGCTCAGCAATTATTAAAAAAATAAAGAGCCACAAAAGTAAACCAGATATTACTAATAAAAATCTATTAGTAGGGAGCTCTGATGGCCTAGTGGCAAGAAGCTGCACTGCAATCCCAGAGGCGCACAGTTCAAATCCACCAGATGCTCCACTAGAGAAGGATGGTAGTCTCCTGTGCCAGTTGGATCTGACTCAATGGCACAACAACAACAACAACAACAAAAATAAAGATAAAGTGTCACAAAAAAAGAAAAAGTTTTATAAAAAATTTATTAGTAAACTGTGAGTAGAAATTGTCTTCAAGAATGTAAAAAATTCTGTACAATAATATAAGAATTCTTACATTGTAAATAGTAAGATAGCATTGTTTCCTACTTAAAGAGAGATTCCCAGGAACTACGGGAAATAGAAAGCAAAAATGGTTAAATAAAAAGAAAACTATTAAAACGTAGACACATCTAAATGAAGACTGAAGTTTCTTGCTGCCTAAACACCCCTTTCAGTAAGATCTGCCAACATCTTGGGCTGCTTTGAATCAGTTCTGCTTTAAGCCTTTCAAAAAGCTGAAATATTCTCTAAATCTGAGTTTTCTATGTCTTTACATTAAAGAATAGCTTATAAAAATGATTTTAAAAGTCTGTGATACATTCATGGTAACAGTATTCTCGTTCATGGAAAATATGAGGCTCAAAGATTGGTTCAAGACTTTATATGACGGCTCCAAGAACTCAAAAGTCAAGACTTTTCCTCTCTTATAATTCAGATTTTCCTTGAGAGGCATGTAAATCATATTAAGTACTTAAGTCTGAAGGCATGTTTCAACATAATCACTCAAGAAATTCCACCTCACTCTCACAGATAAGATTATACTAACTTCTTCTGGGTCAGTGTTGCAGAATGCGTGTGTGTGTGTGTGTGTGTGTGTGTGTGTGTGTGTGTGTGTGTATGGGGGGGCAGGGATGGAGAGAGAGAGTGTGCGCTTGCAATGCTATTGATTTTCTTTTCTCAAAAAATGGTTGACTAAGCATCCTCTAAACCAGAATCTCTTACAGTGAAGTAGGACAGAAAGATACAAAAGCTATCAAGTTTGGCTCTCATCTTTTATCTCAAGCAATTTTGCTGTGGTTTATAGTTTTGAAGAAAACCTCCAAATTATATCTCTTAGTGAATGAAATCATTTATTGTCTCCTCAGAGCTGACTCACCGTACGAGGACCTAATGACTGCGTTTCTAAATAGAGTGTGTGGAGACTTGCATTTACTGTACACTCATGTGCATCTGTCAGAACCTGGGTTTAGACCTCCTTGAACAGCACCCAGCCTGGAAAGAGCTTACCTCCTGGCGCATACTCATGATACCGTTTCTTGACTCTCTGCCTAATTAGTTCGCTTGCAAAGTTGTTTATTTTTCTTCTTGTCTGCTGATAATTCTGGAAAGTATTGTGCTATTAAGAATAATTTTTCTGTAATACAGACTATTTTTGGCTGCCTCGAGGACTGAAAAACAGCTTCAGCAATTTCAAGTTCTAAACAGAATACAGAACTCTAGTTGGGGAGGCTTCGTATATCCAATCCAGGGTAAACACTTCACCACAAAGGGGTCTTGCTCCCTCTAGGAATAAAAGCAGATGACAGTGGACATGGAGCGCTCCGTGCACACTGAGTGAGGAAGTCGGAGTCTTGCCACCAAAACCAAACTGTTCTGAGTCCGAGGCTGCCTAAGCTCATTAAGATGCCACCCCCACAGCCCACTTTCCAGGAAACTAGACTGAGAAAGACAGATATGGCTCAACCTCAGAAGAGCACAGTGCTTTTAAATATGAAGGAAATTCTGTAATAAGAAGAATGGGCAAGGCCAAAGGTTTTTTGTTTTGGTTTTTGGTTTTCTTTTTAAAAATCTGTCCAATGATATTAGGGAAATGAAATTTATTGGAAAGATGTGTGGCATCTTGGGCAATAGGCTTTAGCTTTGAGACAGTGCAACTGTGACTGATTTCTCTGATTCTCTGAACAGCAGCACTTCTGTAGCATTTCAATGCTTCTTAGTTCTAAACCAGGTAGTGTTCCCTGGTGGCCTAGTGGCAAGAAGCCGCACTACAATCCCAAAGGCATGCAGTACAAATCCACCAGCTGCTCTATGGGAGAAGATGGGCAATCTCCTCTGGCGATCCCCTGTGCAATTAACTGTCTCTGAAAACCCACCAGAGGTTCAGCTATGGCTTGGTTCTGACTTGATGATACACAACAACAACAATATATATTGTACATCAAAGAACAGATAAAGACGGATTTATGATGTGTGAGAAAAAAATGTATGAGATGAAAATCTAAAAGTAAGTTCTTATATTTTTTTTTCCTCACATTAGAACATACTGCCTTGTTCATTTCAAGTAAATGCTTGCCTTGGAGACCTTTACTCAACAATACACACAAGGGCTCCCTGAATCACTCAATACCTGCAGAAGACAAGAGGTGCTCCCCTGAAGACTATATCCTGAAAACTCCCATAGGGAAGGTTCTCCTGTGTCACAATGAGCAACTGTAAATAAATTTCACCCAACAACAGCAACTCAATAGAACCTGACAATAACAATCAACAGGAACCCTTTGGCATTTTGATGATTTCCTGCACAGATGCTGTGTATTTGTTAAAAACAAGGGGGCTATTTTTAAAATCTAAAATACAAAAAGCTAATTAAGTGAAATGGGAGTGAGGTTGAGACTAAAGGGCAGGAAGAGGTAAATGTTGGAAAAGTGTGCATGCTGAAAGAGCGAAAAGAAGACAGAGGAAAGAGCAAAACAAAATCTCTGAATTTTCTTTCATAATAGGGTTTGTTGAGGCGGAAACAATCCAGACATGTTTCAGGTTTTATGTACAAAATAAAAATATGACAGGATTGGACTATCTATCCTAGGGCAGATCAGATATGGTTCTTGTGGCATAATCTGCATATTTTCCATTTTTCAAAGATAAGTTAAAACTATGGGTGCCCAGTATCTCCAATGGCTGGCATTCCTCCACGGACTTGGGGACGAGGCCAAGGCAATCACTAACCTGCAGTAATGAGCCTAAAGAGTTGCTGGGTTTCTATTTGCACAGCCAGTCTCTCAGTCAACTTGATGTTTTGATTTGGGTTTGTTGTTTGGTTTGTTTTCTTTTCACCTCACAAAAAATAACTCACAACTTTTATGCCAAAGACAAAGTCGCATTATTTTCCGCTCACTTCTTCCATTTAAGGGTCTCGGAGAAAGTAAGGAATTCAGGAATATTAGTGCTGCTTTGACCTTCTATTTTGGGACATAAATGGCTTAAGAGATGGTCTCTTTAGGGGAGCCTGCAGGTCGAGCAGAAAGACACAGGGTCTGGGAGCAGTTGTGTCTGTATGACCACAGTAACTCACCTAACACTCTTTCCTCATTTATGAAAGGATAATAAGATTAATTGTAAAAAAAAAAAATTCTACCTAGTCCACAAGCTTATTGGATGAGAGCAAGCAAGGGTAAACTCTAAAATCACTTAGCAGACATAACACTCTGTATGCCTCTAACCCATCACTCTTGAGTTGGTTCCAAATTGTGGCAGCCCTCAATCCAGTTTCTGAGGCTCTAAATTGTTCCAAGAGGAGACTGCCCATCAGCTGGTAGTGAACCATTGACCGCCAACCTGTGGCTACCATCACCATATGCTACATGCCCTGCCGATTTCGCCTGTCAGTGTGGAACTAACTAGTAATATCTCTGGTGGAAAAACTCCCACTCCGCTACTTGAAAACCTGGGAATACTACCTTCAGAGTGACGGGGACGTTCATGTGAAGAAATAAGAGTGATTTAATTAGAAGTGAAAAAAGAATGTTATTAAAAACTCTATAAGTTTGGGGGGAGGAGGAAATCATAAATTCCATGAGAAAGGCCACTACCAGCCACCTGATTTATGTCAGTCAAGGTGCAATAAGAAATGTCCAGGCATGTTGATAGAACCACCACCAAAAATTGTCAAGTCAATTCCTACCTATGGAAATCTTCCATGGAGTTTG